GAAAGGAGGAGGCAGGGCCCGCCTAAGAGCAACCCCGCCTCCTCTTACATCACTGGCCAGCGACCTAAGAGCAGGTGGGGCCAGTGATGTAAGAGGAGGCAGGGCCCGGGGACGGAACAGGAGTCGGGGCCCGGCGACCACAGAGGCGGACAGCGCTGACAGGTAAGAGATCTCAGACCTTGCAGAGCCCACTATAGAGGTCTATGGTGGGCTCTGCAAGTGGCATAACTAGCAATCACGGGGCCCCATACAAAATTTTGCTATGGCACCCTGTGATTTCTAGTTACGCCCCTGCCCCTAAGGTTTGCTTACTTCTAAAGGGATGCACACAATGCAGCTTTCCTCATTAGAACAAAGTTCACCAGGTGGTTATAATGCAGACCCTCAAATGCAGAAATCGGTCTGCAAAAGACATGGGGAAACAAACAGCTATTTCTTCAGAAGAGAAAATGAATCTGCAAAAAAGATTGGTAAAACCCTTGTAATGTATATAGAGAATATAGGAAGGATCGTATTTTTCTCATCTAAAGTCGAGTAATATATACGTATAGCTAGCATGGGACACTGCAGCTGTGATAAACTGGCTCTATCCAGAGAGAAGAGCGATCATGTAACTTGCTGATCGCTCCACTCCGTTTTCATCCCTGCAGAGAGCCATGATGGTCACTGCTCCCCGCAAGGATTCCCCCCTCCCTGTTCCTCCAGTGCTCACAGGAAAGATAGAGAGGGGAGGGTTTGGGCCAGGGGCTGACTGGCAACTTATAGCCCAGGGGGCAAGTACAACCCAGAGGCCCATGGTGCAGCGACTTGGCCCACCTCCAGCTTTGCCCGTTCTCCCTGCCTGCCACTTTTTCCATCCATGTTAAGGTAGTGTGAATGGTCAGGTGATGTGAGGACTCACTAGTCAGTCCATGAAAGGGGTGACTGGCTGGGGGATGGGCTGCTGCACATTATACAGCAATGCAGAATATTACCATCAGCTATAGAGGACTACAAATCCCAGCAATACATTATACAGCAATGCAGAATAATAGTATATTCATTTTCTACATACGCTTTGATGCTCTGCTTTGGCGGGTGTCAGCCTGATGTCTTGGTCAGTGGGTCTCAGGAGGCGTGTGGAGGTCTCAGAAGGGTTAGGGAGGGTCTCAGTATGTAACCCAGTGCATAGGTCAGCGGTCAGTATGTAACCCAGTGCAGAGGTCAGTATGTAACCCAGTGCAGAGGTCAGCGGTCAGTAAGTAACCCAGTGCAGAGGTCAGTATGTGACCCAGTGCAGAGGTCAGCAGTCAGTATGTAACCCAGTGCAGAGGTCAGCGGTCAGTATGTAACCCAGTGAAGAGGTCAGCGGTGAGTATGTAACCCAGTGAAGAGGTCAGCGGTGAGTATGTAACCCAGTGCAGCAGTCAGCATGTAACGCAGTGCAGCAGTCAGCATGTAACGCTGTGCAGAGGTCAGTAATGCAGTGCAGAAGTCAGCATGTAACGCAGAGCAGAGGTCACACAGAAAGAATAGGGACTTACAGTGACTCTTTTCCTCTCCTGTTTTAGGTGCTATGCTATCTTTTTTTCCTCTCCTGGGGGGGTCGCCTGCACGTTTGGAGGCGATTACAGCCACTTCCTGCTGTCCTCCCTTTAGGACCCAGGCAGACAGTCAGTAGAAGTGCAGTCTCCCTCCAGCCAATAGCAGAAGTGGGCGGAGGCAGCTGCAGAGGAGCTCGAGCACTACACGGGCTTATCACAGGCAGCTGAAGAGCCTCTTCTCATCCTCCTCTGCAGGATCCTAGCGGCTGTTTTTACAGGCACCAGAGAGGCCCGGGGGGGCAATTGCCATCCTGCCCCACGGCCCAGTCTGCCTCTGGTTTGGGCACATCTGGGTCTGGCTCTAAAGAGACAGAGCCAGCTGTCAATCAGGCATCCAAGTGGATCTTGACAATATTGTCGGGATCATTCCTGGCTGCAAGCAGTAGCCCATTATATGCTGACTTTGGGTCATAGGAAAACCTTCGTAAATACACTCCTGTGGCCCTAAAGAGAAGGCCAAAAAAAGGTCCAGCTTTACTTCTCTTTTCAGTAATAAAGTTTCTTCAATAAGTTGTCTTTTAGGTTTTGCTAAAATACTACCAGTGTTCCATTGTTAAAGTCTACTATTGCTTTATGTAGAAAGTCCTTTCAGGACATGCGACAAAGCTAAAAGCCCTTTTCCTTGCCAGACATTTACAACATTACCCTAACTTCCTGCAAGTATCCAGGGCTATTTATAGAAGTGAATTGCTGCTACTTCTGCTACTGCACAGCTTGATGATCACCTGTAACTCTGATAAAACATTAAATTTAATCATTTAAGTAAACTACACCACTAATTAAATAAAACACTGATGCCAATATCTTTCTGCAGCAATTCTTTTTACTTTGCGCTCATGAATGTCATTAGCACAGTCAAAATAAACAATATTCATTGTGCAGGAGGATCCTAACAGATGGTGCTCAACATGTATCCATAATTCACTTTGCGTTATCTATTATTATTTATGAGATAGGAATGGCCATTAACCTTTAAAAATCATATTTAATTATTTAAGCATCGGGTCACAACTCTTCCCCAAGTAAGTGGTTTCTCTAAAGGCTCAGACAACTTAAAGTGACACTAAACTCAGGAGTTTAATCGCAAAAATGCATTAAATATCTTCATTATTAACAAAAATGTACCTTATTTGTGTATCACTCGGCTGTAGATCGTGAAATCATCTCTGAATTGGTGCTGACACTGTCCTTCCTTCTGGAGGGTGGCTGCTTTTGTTCCCCCTGGGCCCTGTGTGTGTTGTAAAGTAGTCACCACTCCAAACTCGCTCCTGTGATGGACTACAATCTCATATTTAGTTTATTAATATTTACTAAGATTGTAGTCCATTAAGGGAGCGAGTTTGGAGTGGTGACTACTTTACAACACACACAGGGACCATGGGGAACAAAAGTAGCCACTCTCCAGAAGGAAGGACAGTGTCAGCACTAATTGAGATGATTTGAGGATCTACAGCCGAGTGATACACAAATAAGTTCTCTTTAGGGTCACGGGAGGACACATACTAACCTCTATTGCCCACGATATACTGAGAGTGCCAAAGCCGGGACGGATCCCAACAATACGGTCAAGATCCACCCAGCTGGCTGATTGACAGCGAGCTCTGCCTATTTAGAGGCAGAGCCAGCTGTGCCCGATCCCTTCCCCATTCATTCCTCCAGTCAGTGCTGGAGGATCGGAGAGGGGGGAATCCCTGCAGGGAGCTGAGAATGACAGTCCCATCTCTTTGCAGGGAGACGATCGGGAAGTGAGCAGATCGGTGGCATGCTTCTGCTCAATTCCTGATCAATAGAGCCGACCTGTGACAGCTTCTTTGTCACAGGTCGGCTCTAACTATAAGGAGGAGTGGAAATCACTCACCTCACAGTTCTCCTTTTTTTTTAAAAATTCTTTATTTTGAGTTTTCACATATAATGAAACAGAGGTACAAGAACATACAGAACAGTCCATGATGTTATTTCCTCCAGTGCATAGATACATATACAATCGTGTAAGCGCTTCACGTTTTCTGAAATCAGTAAATAGCATGACAGGAGATTGTCGGTCCAAAAGGTGCCCATCCACTAACATGGGTCCATGGGCCCTAGTATGCAGGACATTAATACTACGTACACTTCGATCAGGTATCATATATGGTTCACAGTGCTACACTGGTAGTCATTTATACAAGGGTGTGTAGTGGGCATGCGGAGGGATAACGTGGAGGGGGTATAATGGAGAAGGGGAGGATGGAGAGGGAGGAAGGGTGAGGGGGAGGTTTGAGCCAAGAGTAAGAGTAGGCAAAGTAGCCCCCAATAAGGGCTATAGGAGAGGGGGGAAAAAACAGGTATAGGAAAGGGGAAGCAGAAGTGTCCAGATCCGGGCTAGGGATGTGTTGATCTCAGGCCTGGAGCCCGTCTAGGTTTACGTGGACAGTAAGGGTACGCTGCATCTGACTGTGGCGATCAGCAGGGTGGTTCCATTTCTCTAATGTCTCATTTGAGATGTGGGTCCCGAGAATGGCATGGTGCTTCACTCCACCATTAGCTCACCATACTCTGGGGAATAGAGGAATTCTATCCAATAAAACCAAGTTTTGCGGAATGCGCTGTCTTTGTGATGTAGGGAATCAGTCATTTCCTCCATCACTCGAATTTCATCCACCTTACGGAACCACAGCTTTACTGAGGGTGGAGTAAGACTTTTCCAACACAGCGGCACACAGGCTCTAGCTGCGCTGATCAGGTGTATCAGCAGAGATTTGCGGTATCGGGCCCTGGGCAGTGGAGACAAGTGGAGCAACAGAGCAGCTGGATCCCCCGCCAGAGACAGTCGGGTGAGTTGTTTGATTATCCGAAGGACTGCATCCCAAAACCCCCCCGAGGCATCGGCAGGACCAGAACACGTGGAGAATGGATCCCTCTTCCTGGCCACATCTCCAGCACGTCGGGGGAGTCTGAGGAAACATTTTGTGAAGCTTGGTTGGGACATAATACCATCTGGTGAGCAGTTTGTAGCCTGTCTCCTGTATTCACAGTTCTCCTTTAACTCCTAAGTTTAGGGTCACTTTAAAACTTAACTAAAGATGCAGATAGGAAATATTCCCCTACATCTACATCTATGAAATCCCATGAGGCATTGCAAGACAGACCCAAACATAACTTTTAGAGGCAAATGTTTGGATTTGCCATTTCACCAAAGTTGCCTATCCCTGTGATACAGGTTTCCCCATTTGAATTCTTGTCCCTCACCCCCTCCTTCGCAATACCAGCCAAAAGCCTTTCTACTTCAGCAATCTTATTCTTCCTGCCTCTGCACATATCACTTTTGGTATAAAGACCCAACAGAACATCTTGTATGTATTGTACACGTTTCGTAACTTGTATTGTACTCTCTTTTTCTAAACTTTCTCTCTCTCTTTTTTTTTTAACCTCCTACAGGCAGGATGGTGACCACATGTGGATATAAAACCTGAAGTAAAAATCCTGACCAATTTCCAGGCCACAAGATGACAGCTATACTGCATATTTATACTGTGCTCATGATCACCACCGGCATTGGTGCTGTGGGAGCAAACCTCATCCTACTTTTACTATTTGCATCGCACTTAAAACTGCGCACAGACACGTGGGCCCTCACCCTGAATCTCAGCCTGTGTGACTTGATTTTCGGAATATGTGTTATTCCAGCTGCGGTATACAGCAGCCTTTTAGGGGGAGGCATTTTTTCTAAGGATGAGATCGCCTGTAAACTGTTAGGATTTATTTTTGTTCTGCTACAGGTGGCCTCATTGAACTCCTTGGTATGGGCCACTGTTGACAAGTTTACAGAGATCTGCTTTCCCCTGCGATATGCTCAAATGATCACCAAGAAGCGGATTTGGATTATCTTGGTATTGCTGTGGATTTATGCTTTAGTAGTCTCTGCTTTCCCATTAATAGGCTTCGGAAAATACAGCTTCAGCAGTGATGTCTACATGTGTGTGCCTTTATTTAACTCTTCAACCACAGCGTATGGTGTGATGCTGATCAGTGGAGGAGTTCTTGCCCCTATATTGACAATCAGTGTGCTGTATATTGCAATTATTCACATAGCCAGGAACCAGGCAAAGAGAGGAACCTTTGTGTGCAATGATCAGCACTGCTACTATGTGCCCATCCGGTCATATTTTAAAAACACGGTCATCCTCATTGTGTCTGCAGGTAAGTTATCACATTGTACAGTTTTACAGAAATAACAAGCAGCAAGAACCGACAAGGAAATGATAATCATCAGTATTGATCACTATGACTACCGTTTACATAGAGGGCACAATAAAGTAATTTAGCTAATAGCTGGTATAGTAAAAGACAAAGAAATATATGATGTTTCGGAAAGTAATGTTTGCAGAGAATAGCACACGTGAAAGTTTGGTTACTTTGTTAAGCATTACTAGGGATGCACGGATACCAGTATAGGTATCGATACCAAGCATTTGGGCGAGTACTTGTTCTCGCCCAAATGCTCCGATACTTACCTCCAATACCGGAACTTCTGGTCAAAGGGAGAGTTCCTCTTTGGTTTTGGAAGATACAGCTTCCGCTGAGAGAGATTTCCTCTGACCAACAGTGCCATGAGGGAACATGGAGCCGGCTTCCCAGCCAATCAGCATGGAGCTGGCTTCCTGCCCACTCAGCATGGAGAAGACGTCCTGGCTACTCAGCATGGAGCTGGCTTCCTGGCCAATCAGGAAGCCGGGCAGCAGGGAAGGACTCGCCGACCAGCTTCCTGATTGGCAAGGAAGCAAGCACCATGCTGTTTGGCCAGCTTCCCAGCCAATCAGCATTGAGCATGCTTCCCGGGCAATCAAGAAGCTGGGCGGCGGGCAAAGACACGCCTTCTCAGCTTCCTGATAGGCTTGGAAGCTGGCTCCATGGTAGCGGAAGTACCGGTATCTGTAAATGCCTGATTATTACATATTCACAAAAGGACAGCAAACAAAAGAGCATTTCAAGGTAAAGAATATCTCTGGGGTTAGTAGAAGCCATCCACAAACTGTAGACTTCCTCTAACTTGAAAGAATCAGACTAATAAAAACATTCATAAAAAGCAGCAACCAGCTAAGTTTCAACAACAACAAAAACTTCCAACACACATTCTTTAAAATATTACTAATAGTAGACCTCTATGTTTCATTTAATAAAATACAGTTATAACTAGTTATAATTAACTCAAACAAGCTGCATTTCACAAAGAATTGATCCCACAACTTATTTGAAGCTGAATTCCCAGGAAACAGGTAAATACACAGATGCTATACATATAAGGGAGCTCATTTATTTGCCAAAAGAGCTTCTATTTCTGTCCATCCAGTCCTGAGATTTACACAGCTCTTCCACAGGACAAGACAGCCGGATCTTCTCTGCTGCAGTTAAGGTGGATCTTTACACAAAATTTACACTTGCCATCATTCTAATGCTCCCCTTCCCTGTTATACATTTAAAAGGTACATTTATTATCTGCCCGCAGGCTCTTGGGATTCAAGTCACACATCCCAGGAAGTTGTCTGCCCGCTGTCCTTCCAGCACAGTTAGGGACCAGCTGTGAGAGATCAGGAAGTGACAGCAGGCTCCCCAATCAAAGATGGCAGTACGGGAAGAGAAAATGCTGCAAAGACTTTGGGCGAGCAAGATAGTGCTGCATTTAATGGGCTGATAAGTATGCATATCGTTTTTAAAAGTCAGCAGCAACAATACTTGAAGCTGCTGACTTATTTTTTTAATAGCCCGATTATATTCTTATTTAGGTAACACTTAAAGGACTTGTTTCTCCCCCAGTCTTAGAAACAGAATCCCACAGCATCAGTAAAATGCCGATTTAAGGCAGCTGGAAGTGAGCACTTCAGGCTCTCTCACGACTGTGATGTTATGTTGTGGACAGTAAAAGAACACACAGATGAGCTCACCTCTCTGTCACTTTGCTCTCTCCTGTCATCGTGTGCCTTGATAGACACAATAGCACTGCTTCTCCTTCCCTCAGACTGAGCTTTGCTGTAGAACTGCAAGAAGCTGTTACAAAGTCAGATCGAAGTACAAATACTGCCTGAGCAAAGATACAGAGAACCTATAGAGGGCAGGTTGGCCAATACCTTACCAACTACAATTTTCCATATAGCAGTCTCCTCTCCAAGGCACAGTGTGTGTCGACAATACACCAAACAAATAAATCCATAAAACTGAAACCACATGGTCTAGCATGATGCAAGTCTTTGATTTGAACTAAACAAGTTACAAAGTCACAAAGGTCCTCAAGGCATACATCGGTGTTAACTTGTGATGAAAATACACAGATTCCTAAAACCACTGTCCACGGGTATACTGGAATAGTATTGTCCCCAATCAATCAATATCCTCCCACGCTGCTTATATCTCAAACTCCCATTGTCATCACTGCACCTCTGAGTAGGTCCTCTTCATATTGCTAAAATAATCAACATAATAATGATAAGTGTTACAATGGTATGACAACCCAAGTATGTGAACATATAGCAGATGATTGTTCAATCCTTCCACAGGCCAGAGTGGTAAATGTAGAAAGTAAGAGTCCATCTATATAGAAACCGTGTAGTTAGCGGATAGGTAGGTCTCAATAGAGGATGTGTATGCTATTAACATCACAGTCCTAACAGAGACTGAAGTGCTCACTTCCAGCTGCCTTAAATCAGCATTTTACTGATATTGTGCGACTCTATTTCTAAGATTCTAAGCACATAGGTCAAGAGTCAGTTTAAAAATAATTTCCTCTAGAGGAACAAGTAACTGGCATACTACCACTGCAACAATTAATTGTACTGGAGAAGATTTAAAAATACCCCACAAACTATGGAAACTTAGTTCTATGAATGCTTAGAAAAGAAAAAAACCTATTTGGAACGTGTAACTTAAAAGGTCGAATATTTCCATAGTATTTTAATACTATGAATCAAGTGAGGGAAAAGAACTATAGGATATGCCAGTTATTATTTATTGTGCTCGTACCAGCGCAATCTTAGATTGTAGAGACCTATTAGTATGCTTTGTCAGTTATCTTACAACAAAAGAGTGGACAGGTCATCTTGTTCTTATATGGATGCTGCTTCAATAACAGACAAATCCTGCTGTTGTTCAAAACTGCACCAATAAACTGTAAAGCTGGCCATACACCTTACAACCATCGCACGACTTTCGTTGTGAGACGGTTCTAAGGGAATTAAACTCTTGTACGATCTGCCCATCTTGGACAGGCAGATCGTACTTGCGATCACCGCAAGCCCTCCCCGCTGAGGGGAATGCTTCCGATGATTCCAATTCCGATGATTGCGCACAACGGCCTGTTCGGCATTTGTTTTCCGAGCATGACACCAACCCGCCGAAAATCGTACGATTTTCGAGCGTGCTCGGAAGACAAAAGACATGCACGTCAATAAATAGACGTATTTTGCAAATTTGGAGTGCCGGTGTCTCTGCTTTAGTGTACAGTAGAAACAGTCGCACGCCTTTAATACACCTGCCGATTACCGTACGATCGTGGGATCACCCACGATTATCGTGCGATAATCGGCAGGTGTATGGGCACCTTGATGAAGCAGTAGAAGAAAATCAGACCTATGTAATCATTCATAGGTTTTAGACGTCATTGAATTTTAAGGCAGGTTAATTTAAAGGAAAACTATGGGATCACTGAAATACAATCATCCCAATTGTTAGAGCTAACGTGACACTGCAGCTGTCACACGTCGGCTTTATTAATCAAGAACTGAGCAATCACATACGGCTGATCATTCAGTTCTTGATCTTCTCCCAGCAGAGACTGTCAGTCACCACTCACCGCAGGGACTCAGCACTGACTGGAGGAACAGACACGGGTGGGGGCGGGCACAGCTGGCTCTACCTCTAAGGAGGCAGAGTCAGCTGTCAATCAGGTAGAGGGGTTGCTATTAAAACGCTTTATTAAATCTAATTTGAAGTTTGAAGTTTGCCAGAAGACATACAGGGAGGCAGAATATATGTGGAAAAGGCATCTCTGGTTTGATTAAACCAAAACTTTTTAAGACTTACCACAAACACAACACTAATATTCACGCAGCAGTGTGCTGCAGTCTAGTTACCTCCGTTTCCATTCAGTGCATTTTGTGTGTACCCTGTTTTCTGTGTACCCTGCGGTAACTGGTGTTGGTCCAGTGCAGAAAAACGCGTTTATGGAACCAGAAATGTTTATTTAATTAACTTTTCTGTTACAATAAAACATATCTTGCATATTTCACATGATAAAAATCAGAATTAAATCCATTTAATTGTCAGGCTCTAACACCTGTAAATACTCTAAATACTGCAGCAAAACACTACGTCTGAATGCTAAACGTTGCTGGCAAAATTAACTGAAATCTATCTTTTATTAAATTCTCAATATCCCACACACACCAGAAGCCAGCCAATGGCAGCTGTAGAAAGTGGCATTGGGAAATTATTTTGGTGTCATTATAGATATTGCACATATCCCATAAAGTTTGGAACAGTGTTGTCATTCTAGTGGTAGCCACAAAAAAGAGATGTTGCTCCAAACAGCTTAATCATCAAACAATTATTTCTTACCAAACGTGAACGATCATTTTGGATCATTCTGTGTTTCTATACTTTATGCACTTAGCAGATGGCCTTTGTTTGGGGAAACAATAGTGATCATCTATGAAAGTCAAGAGGTGGGTCGTCCAAGGGGTGTCTGCAGAGCTTGCAGCATGTCCATAGGCAAATACAGTATGATTGCCTCCTGATTGAACACTTCCCAGGAAGATAGGGGTTTAGACTAGGGATGCACCGATACCAAGTACCGTACTCAGTACAGGTACAGATACTTTTCCAGGGAGCTCCTGTACTTCTCTGTTTTAATGTATGATTTTATTTTTATAAATACATATAAGGGATGCACCGATACCATTTTTGCAAGTACAAGTACTGATACTTATACAAGTACTCACAGATACAAGTACTGACACATTTTTGTTTATTGTCATGTGACAGTTTTTCTAAAACAATACAGACTAATGATTTCAGGACAGTGGTGGAGCGCCAGAGCCAGGCCCCAGCTTCAAACCTGGTAGTTCTCATGAAAATGCCAAAGTATCGGCATTGGTATCTGGACATCCCTAGTTGAGACACAGAGGGCTGGAGGGGGAGATCACAGGGAGGACCTCATCAGTGTGGTGATGCTTATTCATATTCCAATAAACAGGCTGGAGGTATGGCAGTAATACCTGAAGCTGCAGAGCAGTAGTATGACACTTTGGCTCCTAGCTAGTTTGGCTGTGTAATATACAAGGTTGGCTGGAAAATACTGCAACGATTCTGGTAGTCAAAACAGGTCACATATATATATATTTCCATAGTTTAGCTATAGTTCTCTTTACGCTGTGCCACTTAAATCACTTATATCCATTTACAATCTATCAAAATGTAACATTTATTTCTTGGTTGTTTTACTCTTAGTTTATCTGTTGGTGTGCTGGATCCCATCAGTAACCATTAGTTTCTATGAAATCTTTTATGCTCACAATGTACCCATTATAGTAAAGATGGCTTCAATATGGCTGCTGGTCCTGACATCTGGTATAAATCCTTGGGTAAACACACTCGCACAAAGGTGAGTAGGAAGCCATGCACCTTATTCTGTAGTTTTCTTTGCCTGTTTCCTTAAGAGAATTTGATGTTTAATTCGGCCTGGTTTACACCTAGGCGTTTTTGAACAGTAGAAAAAGCCCAACACAAGAAATCCCTTGAATTTCAATGGCCCCTGTTCACACCTGAGCAGCAAAACCCCAAAACACAGAAATAAGTACATAAGGTTTTTTTGGGGCAGTTTCAAGCATGCTGAACTGGCACTTTCAACTGCGCAAAAACGATTCTGCCTTGGTGTGAACGGGGCCTAAGAGTTAACATGAATCTACCATAAACCTGGGCAATCCAATTTGTGCATCTGTTAAAAACAATCTGTAGATCCAGAAATATAGGCAGCTGAAGTTCTATGCCAACCTCCACATAAAAGTCGAGCTTGGCTCCACCCATCCTACCTTCCAATCTTTGCTACTGGCCAATATGGCTGCCTATCACATTAAAGTAAACCTGTCATGAGAGAACTATACATAGGCATCGGAGAATGCATTCTGCCTGGCTGTTACATTGATGCTTTGCACTTGGTGCAAGCATAGAAATACCACTTTCTGACTCTTCTCGACTCTCATTTGCAGCTTGCTTATTCTGGCTTTGTGTTTCAGAAGTATAGAAGCTAGACAAGCCAAGCAACTAGTATTTTCAGGAGGAAGACCGGAATGGCAGCTACTATATTCTTTTCTGGCAGGTGTACTGTAAAAGACCAATAAGAATACTCATAGGTTGGAAGGGGACAAAGTTATTTTCCGTTTTTACAGGAAAAGTCTAGATTTGCATGCAGAATAAATTCAGCTGCATATATCTCTGAATCTC